AAAGAGAGAGATACACCGGGATACGTCCCTATGTTTCTTTCACTTTTTCGAAACACCTGGATACATCCCTATGTTTCTTCCGCTCTTCCGGAACATAGGGATGCGTCCCTATGTTCCTCTCTCTTTGGTTAAGAGCATTTAGAAACGTTCCAATGCTTATACCTTTCCGAAACACTGGGATAGGTCCCTATGTTTCTTTGCATGATCATCAGAGTTATGCTCGACTTTGTGCATTGTCTTGCATTTTGCCCTGCCCTCGGGTGCATACCTTTATTTGTAGCGCTTTTGTCGAGTCTTCGGCCTTGCAGAAATGGGTCGTCTCTGGGCTTTGACTTAATCTCCGTCATTTTTTATGACTTCGCGAGTTCTGTCAAAAGAGGGGCAACTGTAGACACCCCATTTTTGACCGTCCTCTAAGACTTGGACGTCATCGTTTTGAACACTCGATGATCATCCCTGTTCGTGTTCGTCTTGAGTCTCGGAGGTTTCGGCTACGCGCCTTGCCTCAAGACCTCTCGACTTGTTTGTTTTGTGTTTGGTTTTACATTCAAACACTTATTGTTTTGCTTCTGAGGGTGGGAAATAGCTTGTAGGCCACCCCACACCTCACCGGCCATGGCTTGAGGCCACCAGCCTTGTTTCCGTTGCCACCGGCCATTGGTGATGGCCGATCGGCACTATTGATGGTCGGTCGGCATTGTGTTTGGTCGGCCCGGCCACTTTTGTTTTTGATCAATCGGCCACTTTTCCTGGCCGAAGAACCTTTTCTTGGGGAGCTTGACCCTTTTGATCCTTTTTTTAAGCTTCTCCAAGAAGCTTGAACCTTTTGACCCTTTTTAGCTTCTCCAAGAAGCTTGACCCTTTTTTTAGCTTCTCCAAGAAGCTTGAACCTTTTGACCCTATTTAGCTTCTACAAGAAGCTTGACCCTTTTTTTAGCTTCTCCAAGAAGCTTGAACCTTTTTAGCTTCTCTAAGAAGCTTCACCTTTTTAGCTTCTCCAAGAAGCTTGACCCTTTTTTAGCTTCTTGAAGAAGCTTGAACCCCTTGACCCCCTTTCCCTAGCTTCTCCAAGAAGCTTGGCCCTTTTGCTCCAAGCTTCTAAGAGAAGCTTGGCCTTTTTGCTCCAAAGCTTCTAAGAGAAGCTTTTGCCCCCTTGGTTTCTCTATAAAAAGAGGGCCTCTCCTCCCCTTTAGAGGGTTGAAAAAAATCTGATATATAAGATATATATATCACTCTCTCTCTATATCTCCCTCTCTCTCTACATTTGGGGGGTTAGAGGGTCCAAAAGGGTCTTGTTCTTGACCTATTGCACACCACTTCATAGCCACACACTTCCATCATCACTTGGAGGTTCTTGGAGCTTGTTTTCAGAGGTTGAGGGTTGCATTTTTGGGTTCTAAAGGCTGCTGGTTCTTGCTGGTCTTCAAAGGTAACCCCTTTTCCCTCTTTATCCCCGTTTTTGCACACCCTTTTAGCCTGTTCTTGCTTGTGGATTTGGGCTTTGTGTATAACATAAAAAAATTTTGTTTTTTTCTGTTTAAGATACTTATTAAGGTCACTTTTGTGTTTGGGGTCATTTACCCCCTCCTAGGTCTTGTTTGGCCCCATTTTGTGCTATTTTTGTGAGCTTCGGGACCACCTTGTTTGGGCCTCCTCACCACTGAAATCTTGAGGGATTTTAGTGGTGAGGATGGTGGTTTAAGATCCCAAGAAGGAGAGGGCCATCCCCTCTCCTTGTTGTCTTCAAAAAGTGCCATTTTAGCCTCATGTGTGAGCACCATTTTTAAGTTCATGTTGGCCATGTCTTAAGTGTTATTTTGTGCTTATTTTGCCATGATATAGCACTGTTTTTACTTGGTTTAGACACACCATGCTTGCTTTGCATACTTGTCTTGTAATGCCATGAAATTCCCTTAACATGTATCAAGCATTTAGACCACTATGCTTACTTGTTTTGGCTTAGCTTTGTGAAGCTTTTATGCATGTTTTAGTGTGCTTGAGGTCTGTTTTGGTCATTCGGGTCATCCATGCTTTGCTTTGTAAGCTACCATGTAAACCCCCTTGGCTTGCCTTGAGTTTTAGACCATTGTTGCATGCTTAGCTTGAAATGTTTACTTGGTTTTTGCACCTTCTATAACATGATTTCAGAGCTTTCTTGCATGCCATGTATCCATGTTTATCCTCTTTTAAGTGCGCTTCGAAGTTGCTCTTTGGTGCCTAAGTGTTGGACCTTGTGTGCATGCATGCTTGTATGTGTTTTGGCCCTCATTTCCATGACATTTGGCCGCTGTTTTGGACCTAGTAGAGAGCTGTCCAAATTAGTTTAAGACCATCCCTTTGGCATGTTGTTGCATGCTATACATGTTTGTATGTTTAGGTACTTAGCCTATTTACGTGTTGCATGTTTAAGTGTCATCGCATTTGGCATGCTTCTTGTATTGAGTTGCTTTGCATATCTACATGTGTTATGCCTTTCATGTTATTGCATGTGTGTCATTAACATTGATGTTATATGCCTTGCATGCTTACTTGTTTAGTTCATGTGCCTATTGCACATGGTTTTGTTGTTTGCATGATCATGTTGCCCACTTAGCTCACATGCCTAGGTTGCATTACATTGGCATGCATGCTTTGCCTCTTGATTTGAGTATGATAGAGGTTGAGCTCATTGTTTGTTTATGTGCATTTCATTCTACATTGAAAATGCATACTTGATCTCTTGGGCCATCACGCATTGAAATGCGCGATGTGGTCCGAGAATCGAGCACTGTACCCCTGTGAGTCATAAATATGATAAGGGATGTGGTGGTGCATACATTTGCTTGAAATGCATTGCCATGCCTTGTTTTGCCTTCTGTGCTGTCAAAACACAGGTTCTGCAGGAAGCTTTGGCCGGCCGGCCATCTATACTGCCGACCGGCTATCCGTTTGTTGGCCGATGGCTTTACAAATGGTCGATGACCATCCCGACCATGGCCGGTGGTGTTCTGTCTTAGCCGGTGGTGTTCCACAGTGTCCATAGAGTGCTCCCTGGGACTTGTGCAATTTTCAGAGGAGCAGAGACAGGGAAAACAGAGGCAAACTTGTGAATGGCGTTGGATTTTCAGGCAAACTTGAGCACGCGTGCATTGGATCCTCTTCCCGAGGCCTTTACTGCTTTCCATAGTTTAGTTAATTTGTTAATTAATTAAGTGGTCTGTAATAATTAATGTGTATATTCTTTTGGTCCCTCCAAGCGAGGGCGAATTTGTAATAAGTGTGGGTGCGTGTGTGCATGTCTTCCAACCCCCACTTCTTTCTCCCTTTTACTTACATGCTTTTGATGGTTAGTATTAGGGCATATTTAAATTAGCATACCTTATGCTATGCATGCGTGCATCCATACATTTGTCTTGCATGCACCGGGCTGGCGCATCATATAACTGCATTGTATTTTCAATTCCAAGTTGAATACGTGCTAGTTGTAGCATCTCACATGTCATTGTAGATTAGCCGAGCCTATCTTAGTGTCATTTTGCATGTGTTGCATTTAGCATCTAAACATGAACTAGGATCATGCATATGATTACTAACTAGTTTCTGTTTTGGCTTGGAGTACTCGATGAGCATTTATGTTTTAGCATCCTTGCATGCGTGTGAGTGTTGCCATGACAGCATGCTTACCATGAGGCTATTGCTTATGTGATATAACTACTTGAATGCTTGTGGGTGGAGGTTGAATTACCTAAATTGGAATAATGCACTAAAACCGTGAGTTTTAAGCCCACTAGATAGTGGCAAAACCATCTTTTCTAAAGCCCACTTGAGGTGGCAAAATCTGCATTTTAGCCTACTTGCGTGTGGCAAACTATTTTCAAAACAAACATGAAATGTTTTGTTCCAATTTAGGCGATTTGGTCTATACTTGTTTGTTGTGCGCATAACATAGTAATTCTAGGCTAATAACCGGAATAAGAACGCATAATGTTTTCAAAACTCGATATCACGGTTAGTAGAGGCCGATCTTCGAATCGGGCGAGAGGGGGTGCTCATAGCTGACCTTTCCCAATCGTACCCAAGCTCCCGAGCCGAGGCTACTTTGGTGATGACGGACATGTGGCCTTTGGACCGAGTCAGGGTTTCCTAAATCCCCTCATAAAAATATTTAGGTGGCGACTCTGTATCTAGCAAAGCAGTCCATGTTTGGCCCTTCTTTTCTAAAAATTGTTTCTCAAAACAATTTGCCGGATTTGGACTCTTTGGTTCAGATTAAGAACCGTGACAATTTGAGAGTCCTGACTGTAGTGAGCCCGAATAGAACAGAACGGGACTCACCCTCCCGGGGCGTTCGGGGACGTCTACAGTATTCCGCTGGTTTCTTTAAAAGCTCTTGGATATTGTTGGTAAGGTGTCACCTTAGCCATTAAGTCATTTCTTTGACTCGGGTAAACTTCTTTCTGAGGTCAATAGTACCATCATAGCTCTTATTCCTAAAGTTCCTAATCCTACTCATGTTGGTGCATATAGACCCATCTCTTGTTATAATACCATCTACAAATGCATTGCTATGATCATAGCTAATAGACTTAAATTGGCTCTTCCTGATCTGATTGATTCTGTGCAGTCTGCTTTTGTCCAAGGTAGAAGGATCTTGGACAACATTTTCCTGTCCAAGAGATTATGAGAGGTTACCATAGGAGTTCTCATTCTCCTAAGTGTGCCATAAAAGTGGTATTATGAAGGCCTATGATACTGTGAGATGGGACTTTATCATTGATATGCTTAAAACTATGGCTTTCCCTCCTTGTATGATTACCTGGATAAAGGCTTGTATCACGAGCCCTTCTTTCTCAATTGTATTAATGGGAGCCTTCAGGAGTATTTTAAAGGGGCTAGGGGATTAAGACAAGGGGACGGATCCTATGTCCCCGTATCTCTTTGTGTTGGCTATGGAAATTCTTGCTAGGATTTTGGCTGAGAAATCTAGGAGCCCTTTGTTCAAATTCCACTGGAGGTGTGAGAAAACTAAAATTGTCAACCTTTGTTTTGCTGATGATTTGATGATCTTCAGCAAAGGGGATCCTGGTGCTGTTACTCTTATCATGCAGGGATTTGAGGAGTTTAGGGATCTATCGGGCCTTACCCCTAATCCTAGTAAGAGTAATATTTTTTTCTCGGGGTGTAGTAGTGCGCTTAAAGAGGATATTCTTCAGATTGCCAATTTTACTGAGGGCTCCCTCCCGGTGAAATACCTTGGTGTGCCTCTTATCACTACCAAGCTTAAAGCATCTGATTGTCATACTCTGGTTGAGAGAATTACTATGAGGATTAAAAGTTGGACCAATAAACTGCTTTCTTATGCTGGTAGAGCTCAACTCATCCAGTCTATCCTGTTTTCAATGCTAGTGTATTGGTCCTCTCTTTTTATCCTCCCTAAGAAAATCATTGGTGACATTGAGAGTATCCTTAGATCTTTTCTTTGGTTTGGGGTTGAGTTGAAAAAACATAGTGCTAAGATTGCTTGGAAATATATTTGCAGACATAAAAATGAGGGTGGCCTTGGCTTTAAGGACTTGGCAATCTGGAACAAGGCTGCTACAGCCAAACATGTTTGGTCCTTGTTTTCTGGTGGGGATTGTTCTATGTGCTGCCAATGGATTAAGTCTTACTTGCTCAAAGGTTGGAGCTTTGGTCCGTTAAGATTCCTAGTGATCCCTCATGGGTTTGGAGGAAAATCCTGTCACTCAGGCATTTAATCTATCCTCACATTTAATTCAAAATTGGTAATGGGGAAAATGTGTTCCTTTGGTATGACAATTGGCACCCTCTTGGTTCGCTGCGGCATAGGTTTGCGCCTAGAATTTTATATGATACTAATCTTCCTGATAGCACCAAGGTTAGCTCTATAGTCTCTAATAGTTCTTGGAAGTGGCCTGTTTCTAACTCTTGGGAGATAAAGGAGTGGATCTCTTCCACCCCTTTATCTCTTCTACCTTCCCCTGGCTCTTCTGATACTCCAGTGTGGAGTTTGACTACTGATGGTAACTTTTCTATCCAGTCGGCCTGGGATTGTTGGAGGGATAAGGGCCCTCAAGTCTCTTGGTCCAAACTTATCTGGGGTCCCCCTTCAATCCCTAGGGTTAGCTTTATTGCTTGGTTGGCCACAAATGAGAGACTTAATACTGGTGATAGACTTCAAGCATTTGGTCTTGTTCCTACTCCTTGCTGTCCTTTCTGTCAAGATCCTGAGGAGAATCATACCCATCTTTTTTTTAGCTGTATTTTTTCTTCTAGGATTTGGGGTGGTATTCTTGCCAAGTGCAATTCTAATTGGCCTACTTTGCCTTGGTTGGAAACTGTTGATTTTGCTGTTAGATCCACCAGTGGTACTTCCTTGAAAGTGGTGATTCTGAAATTGTCATTTCTTTGCACTGTCTACCACATTTGGATGGAGAGGAATAGTAGAATCTTCAGTAAGGCCCTTAAGCCTGAAGAGGTTGTTACTAACTCTATTATCCAAATGGTTAGGGGTAGGCTTCTTTCAATGGAAAATGTTAAAATTTCTGCAGGTGATAATTGGCTTTTGAAGGAATGGAATCTACCTTACAAAATCATGCAGCAGCACCATGCTATTGCAGATGGCAGGAGAATGAGTGGTGTGAGATTACCTTCATTGAGGGTCGAGTGATGGTGAGCATCTCTTGTGGGGTTTACTAATTGGGTGTTCTTTTGCAGGTTATGATGAATCCTAAATCATCTCCCAAATTGAAGTGGTCGAATGGAGGGTTGAGTGTTGTGAGCAAGCAAAGTATATCTAGACATTGGAGATTGAGTGATGAGAGACAGTATACATGTTTTGCTCTAATTTTTATTATATTTTATATATGGTTTGTGCAGGTTTTTGGAGCTTTCAAGTATACTGTCTTTCTGGTTCTTTTGAGGAATCATGTGAGTTATGGGCCAAGTGATGTGATGTTATATATGGAGTGGAGGGACATGCTATGCTGTGGGCCGAGTGTGGGGAGGTCCTATACAGTGTGTTTGTTATTTCTTCTCCTTTATGATTTTCAATAGGCTTACTTGATGGTGCGGACGTGTGGTGTTTTCTATAGTGCAGTTACAGGAGGCTGCTACCAGTGTATTTGTTTTATGGTGTGGAGGGGTGATTGCTGCTTGCTGCACAGGTTCAGGAGGCAGTTGGTAGGGTGTGTTTGTACCGTGGTGATGGCTGCTTCAAGCGCCTTGCTGTGCTACATGAGAGAGAAAATCAGTTGTTTTTCTTTGTATTATTTTACATAGTTTTATTGTGTATTTCGCCTATCCCTACGGGCTGTGTAGGAGGACTTTTGTGCATCTTTGTGTATTTAATAGGTTTTTGAGCAACCATGTTTCGGTTTGCACAGATGTTAACTGGTTGGTTTTTCTTTGGGTCTT